CTGCACTTCAGGTTTATAATTTGTAAAACAGAGCTAAAAATATTAACCTTATAGGGTTGCTGTGAAAACTGAATGATGGCTATAAAGCTGCTTAGCACAATATCTTGTATACACTAAGCTGTAAGTAAAATTTAGCTATTACTGTCATCATCATTATTTCTAGACTGTATTCATTTAAAGGATTCATTAATGAGTAAATAATCAGTATGTATTACCAACATGGGAAAAGAAAAATTTCCATGAGCCCCCAAACATAATACTATATCTTCCGGCTGTTTCCTGTCTGTCTCCTCTTAATCTAGGATATTTATTTCCCAGAATTGTACCAAACACTGCTTGCCTCCCAGGTCTGTGGGAGACGTGGGGGACCGAAGTTCTGGACCATTGTGACAGGGTAAGCAAGTGGTTAGTGTGCTCCATCTGACCAAACTCAAGCTGTGTGTGAAACACATCACTATGGCTACCAGGAAGGAGATGCAGATGGATTCTCTGGGTTGGGGTGAGGGGGTGTTTCTAGACTTGCAGGTACTATCTTGAGGGTATATAGATGTGAGTGACAAAATAAAGGAGATAATGCTCACTGTTAACCCTTTGGCTGAATGTCTAGTGTTAACCCTTGGAAAACAAGAGAAAGACAGGTAGGCAAAGAGAGAAAAGACTGTATGCCTTAGCCAGTTAGAACACAGAGGCCTCTTACCTTCTACTGAAAAAGAGGTGTTTTACCAGGTTAAGGAAACTGAATTACCCACCTCTCTTTCCTTGTTCTTTAATGCCAATTTGAAAAATGTTTTTCCAGTTTTAGATATTTATGATTTGGTTCTCCATGCCGAGGTTCACAAAGGGCATTGAAGGGCTGAAATTGTTACTACCACCAGATGCCTGAGGCCCCTGGATGTATGAAAAATGACCATGCAGAAAGGAGGAAGAGAGGCACTCTCCATAAAAACACCCGGTTGCTACCTATGCTCAGCACAAGCCACTGATAAGAAAGCAGAGTCATTCCTAAAGGGAACTAAATAGAAACATGCCAGGTACTGTATATCCCCTGCAAAGATAACGGTCAACAATCCTCCCACGCCTGTGTGCACACACTGCCCCTCAACCTAGAAGTGGCATCTAGCGCCCCTAGCCTTGAATCCGGCTGGACTTGCTTCGGCCAACAGAATGTGACGGAAATCATACTTTGCTCCAGGCCTAAGCCTTAACAGCCCTTCCTGCTTCTGTGTTTGCTCTCTTGGAAGTTGGGGCTGGACTCCTGAATGATGGGAGAGCACCGTGGAGAGACGGGGGCCTTGTGGAGGAGGATCAAGGCATTCTGGTCAACAGCTAGTACCAAAGTCCCAGCTGTGTGGAGTGAGGCCGCCTGGGACCTGTCAGTCCCAGGCAAACCATCCCAGCTGATACCACAAGGGGCACACATGAGCGCTTCCCAAATTTCTGACTCACAGAATCGAGTAATAAAATAACTGCTATTTTAAGTGACTAGGTTTGGAGATGATTTGCTATGTAGCAATAGAAAATTAAAGCAGGCATCTTATGGCTCTCTCTGTCTTTCTGTCTATGGAGTGGCTCCAATAGCTAGACGCCTGGGTTTCTTCTACCCCTTTTTTTCAGCACTATGTTCTATTTATTCTTAGAGCTTTCCTAATGATGATTCCGAAGCACAAAGTAAATACCTTATGTAAAATGTTAACAACATGAGAGAATACTATGCCATGGGGGATATACACTTCAGCTCTGTAGTAGGGCTTGTTTCAAGCAAGAGGGTATACACTAACACATGAAAAGGTGCTGCTGGAAAGTACTTCTTCAAGTGGGGTTTCAGGATTTTGTCTAACTTCTGACACTAAAGACTGGACAGAAGAATAGTTACTCCTAGATATGTGTGTGTGTGTTTCTATTATAGAACGTTAAAGCCAAGTCTTAGGAAATGCTTGGTAAATATTAACTAAGACCTTAAATACTATGAAACTTTAGGTTTTAAAACATTTTATTTACGTATTTTAGATGCAAGATCTCACTATCACCCAGGCTGGAATGCAGTGGTGCAATCATAGCTCACTATAACCTTGAACTCCTAAGCTTAAGTGATCCTCCCACCTCAGCCTCCCATGACTATGCGCCACCACATCCAGCTGATCTTTCATTTTTATTTATTTATTTATTTGAGACAGAGTCTCGCTCTGTCGCCAGGCTGGAGTGCAATGATGCCATCTCAGTTCACTGAAACCTCCAACTCCCTGGTTCAAGCGATTCTCCTGCCTCAGTCTCCCAAGTAGCTGGGATTACAGGCATGCGCCACCACACCCAGCTAATTTTTGTATTTTTAGTAGAGACAGGGTTTCACCATGTTGGCCAAGATGGTCTCGATCTCCTGACCTCGTGATCTGTCCACCTCAGCCTTCCAAAGTGCTGGGATTACAGGCATGAGCCAATGCGCCCGGCCCATTTTTATTTTTTGTAGAGATGGGGGTCTTACTATTTTGCCCAGGCTGATCTCAAAGTCTTGGCCTCAAATGTTTCCTCTTACCTTAGCCTCCCCAAACACTGGGATTAAAGGTGTCAACCACCATGCCTGGCCAACATTGTAGATTTTAAAGAATAAATCTCTGACAGCATCCTTCTGAGGACATAAAATTGCTCTGGATCTGATGGCAAAGGTTAAGTTCTACAGGCAGGGAATTTAGACAAAGTGCTATCTCCAGAAAGCCAGAGGCCAGAGCACAGCCATGAATTCTTAGAATTGCTGTAAGGTGAACACCATAAACTTCCAGAAAAGACTGAGGGAGCATCTCCTTGATTTCTATCAGGCTAGGCCTGAAGCTGCACTGAAAAAGGAGTGAAGCTGGCTTATTTGTCAAAAAAAGACAAACCCTATAAAGAAGAAGGTCTATCTTCCCAGAGTAATGAACATGGCACTGTTCTCAGAAGTCAAATACCGTGACTTGGGCAATATTCTATTGATCACATAGGCTAGCTCTATTCAGAGGTGGAGGGCGCTACACAAGTGAATGAACACTGGTGGGCAGGATCGATGGGAGCCATGTTGGAGGCTGGCTGCCACATTCACCCAAAACCAATGTACTAGTGCCTGCTGAGGAACAAAACACAACGTCCCTGCTTTCCTGAAGCACACACGCTTAGAGAGGTGAGAAAAGCCACAGATCTAATCAGTAAGTAAATTATATTACATACTCTATAATTTGTGAGGTCCTATGTGTTAAATAAAATTTATAGGAGGCCATTGGTTTGGACTGGGCTCCTGCACTAGGCTCAACAGACCAAACCAAAATGCAGTCACTCCTGCTGAGGTTCTAGACCATGAGTTCAGAAATAAGTTGTTTGTCTGAGCTTCCAAGAAATGACGAGAGAGCTAACAGCCAGATCCCCAAACAGGCCAGTTTTAGTCAGCACATAAAGAAGTCCCCTCTGCTTTAACTTTCACAAGGAAAGTAACTTTAAAACAATTAATCTCCTTTTTTGTTCTCTTCTTGAGCCCTTTTCTGTCTAAAGCCAACCTCTGCTCAGCTCACTGGAACACTCATTCTATTTTACCGAATGAGGCATTGCCCAATTCCGAAATTGCAAATAAAAGTGAATTAAGATCTTTACAGTAAGCTTGTCGTGATTTTGTCTTTTGATATATGAAAATAGACGAAGCAGGAGAAAAGGGAAAGGGAATGCTGGAAGTTGGGATTATAATTTTAAATGGAGAGATCTAGGTAGATTTCACTTAGTACACCTGAAGGGAGTGAGGAAACATGCCGTGTGGTTTTATGGAAGAACAGTGTTCCAGCCACTGGGAATAGCAACTATGAAGAACTGAAAGTAGGAATGTGCCCGTCATGTCCAGGAAACAGCAAGGCAGAAACGAGATGGTTACAGGAGAGATGCAGATGAGATCAGGTAATAACAGTCAGAGGACAGAGACGACGTGGGTGAACGTATGAAATGGGAAGCCACTGGATAGTTCTTAGCAGACAACTGATACTATCTAACTTAACATTAAAAAAAAATCTCATTCTGGTGGCTGATACCAGAATTGACAGGCCAAGGGTGGAAGAAAGGAAATAAATTAGGAGGCTCTTGTAAAAAGTCAGACAAGAGGTAGTGGTGGCTTACATTACAGCATTATCACTGTAGGTGGTGAGGCGTGGTCACTCTGAATTTATTGTGCATGATTCACTGCCATTCTAGGCAAAAGATTTTATTTAAGAGGAACAGCATTTTTTATTAGATCCCAGATAGGTTGCCGCTAAATGGTGCTTTAGGGAACCCCACACAAGTTCTGAGGAACTTCATAGGGACTTGCTCGTAAGAGCAATGAAGTGGGTAAGGGGACTGAAGCTCTAGGGGACTAAAACTGTCCCCTCCCCAGTTTTATAAGGGCGGCTCTGTGTTAACAGTCTTTAAATGTGGGATGGGAAAAACCTTCAAAAGAAAGACGAGGAACCCCAATTCCCCAAAAGAAAAGATAGACCATAAAAACACACACACACACAAACTGTATAAAAAACACAACACCATTTATAAAACTGAAAGACAAACTAGAAGTAAAAATATTTGCAACACAAATGAAGACAGTTTAATATCTCTAAAATTTAAAAAACTCATAAATTCTAAAGGAAATAATCAAGTAAGAAATGAGCAAAGAGTGTGATCAAAATGAGGCTCATAATAGTACCTCCTTCACTGAATTGTTGTGAGGATAAAATAACAATATATACATCAAGTGTTTAACATAGTTCCTGGCTCAATAAATTCTACCTACCACTGCCACCACCATAACCACCACTGCTGTCATCATAACTACCACTGTTGACACTGCGCCACTACCTTCGTGTTCTCATCACCACCATCACTACCACCACCAGCAACTTCATCATCCTGTCAGTGTCAGGGCCATTAGCAATGGAAATCTGAGTCAACTCTGAAGGTCAATTCCAATGCAGCTTTCCCCCAAGTACATTCTTCACTGCAAGTGACCAGTTACGTATTACCTTTTCATGGTTTTCTATTAGGATCTCAATGACAATGTTCTGAAATTTGATGTCCATAATGGCTGCTACCGTTTCTTCCTGAGGCCTCAGCAGAGTGGGTCCGAACACGACGCCGAGGTTAGCCACCGTCATCAAATTCTGCTTGTGGTTGTTAGCAACACTGGGAGGAAGGAAAAGAAAAGGTACCAATGAGAGAAACTGTGTACCCGGAGATACCAACCGCTCTGTACCCTTCCTATCTTCCTATCTACAGACTCCTCGTCTGTGGAGCCAGAACTTGGGACATTCTCTGATGCCACAGGAATCAGAAAATCTACCACATTTCAGAAATCAGCAGCATCCAGGCTATTTTCCTATTTCAGGATATGACACTCCTTATATCATTTCCATTTTGCCTAAACCAACCAACCAACCAAAGCAGCTATCTGCCAAATTACTAACCTTTGAACATCTGAATCCCTGTTTTGCAAGTCCAGGTAACTGCTAATCCCTCTTAATTACAATTTATGTACCTGGCTGCTGCTTTAAACCACTGGAGTCATTAGCATTTTTCTCTACTGCAAATGTAAAATCTCTTGATAGCTTTAATACATTCACAAACATAAGCACAAAATAGACATAATTTTTAAAACGGGCAGATCTGGATATTTAAAACCAAGTAAGGAAATTCAGCCCTTTAAAGTATTAAAGGCCCACCAGATTAAACATGTGGCTCACATTAAGTGAAATGTGGCACAAACAGAAATAAAAATACACTAGTGTATATTTATCTATATGGCTATGTTTATACTGTCACTTATACTCAAAGTCTAACAAACACACAGGGTCAACAGCTGCTGGGTCTGAGCAATTTGCTAAAGACATACGCATATTTTTGAATAAACAGCTACTCAAAAGATGTATCTGAACTCCATACCCAGGCCACCATGACCTATCTATAAAACTCAATTGTTCACTTGCTGGCCCCATGTGTAAAAAACATACAAATCATCTACCGGCAACAAATAAGTTAAAAGTTAATGTCATTCAGTTTTGTTGAGAAAGTACCAAGAGCTTCCCTAAAATCACCTGTTACAAGAAGGAAGCTATTCATTACTAACTTAAAACCAGAGAGAAATTGGGTAGAGATCGGCAGTTTGCACACACCTACCTCCCTAGCATTTAGTGCTATTTATATGGAGTATTTTTTCACACAATTCTATAAATGCCTCCACTGTTTCTCTGGTATACCCTTTTTTTTTTTTTTTTAAAGAAAAGAGATTTTCTGGATCTTAAGTGCTGGTTTTTAAACAGACTTCATTAAAATACTACATCAACCAATTTTATTAGCAGATGTGTACTTTTCTATAATTCTTTTTTAGGGCTAAGAGTTTAATTTTCTCCTGTAATGGTGGACAAAGCATGGTTAGATCTATGAAACTTTAACTGTGGTGCAGTCCAGCTAGAAAGATAATTTGCTTTCTGATTGCCAAGCAACACCTGCAGCAGGGAGAGTGGCCCGCCTCTGGTCCATAAAGAATATTTCATTAACATTTTCTTAGTTCTTGCTGAGTCTCCTGGTTTTACTTATAGTTTTCCATTCTACCCAGAATCACATCACGCTTCCACTCTGAAAAAGTGAATGCAGATGGTCAAATTCCTACCTGGCAAGTGGGAGAGACTTTGGTTCTGTGCCTTAGTCAATCAGCAAGTATGCATATTTACAAGCTGCTTTTAACATCACTCCTTTCAACATCAGCTCCTCTGTGTGGGAAGGGAATTCTATGTCCTTATACTTCCCCTCCCAAAAGAGCTAAGTCATTAAACTTGCCCTCTTGTCACAAAAGTCCCTTGTGCAAGTGAATCAACAAGCTATTTTTGTATGAAAGTACCTTCAAATTGTAGACCAATATAAAAATACATGGTTTGGATGATGATCATTTTTCCCTGTCATGCTCCTCCACACTACATCTGACTAAAGCAAAAGCCTCCTAACTAGGGTTCCTGACCCAAGAACTTCTAACTTCAGCTTTATCCTTCCTGCTACTAGTTCCATCTAAAACCTCCCCTGGTGAGAACACAATGCCATGGCATTTAGCATTCAGCAATGCTTTTATTGTTTAATTGTTCTGATAATGATAAGTATAAACCTTTAGTGGGCCCCACTGTTTTTCTTTCTTACATTTTTTTTTTTTTTTCAAACAAACAAGAGCTTTCTCTGTCACCTAGGCTGGAGTGCAGTGGCATGATCATAGTTCACTGCACCTTCACACTCCGGGGCTCAAGAGATCTTCCTGTCTCAGCCTCCTGAGTAGCTAGTACTACAGGCATGCATTGCCACACCCGGCTAGTTTTAAAATTTTTTTGTAAGAGTCAGTCTTGCTATGTTGCCTAGGCTGATCTTGAGCTCCTGGTGTCAAGTGATCCTCCCAGCTTGGCCTCCCAAAATGGTAAGATTATAGGCGTGAGCCACCGTGCCTGGCCTGCCCAACTGTTTTTAATACAAAGTCTGAACTCTTATAAAACAGCATACCTTTCCTCAAATCACCACTAAGCCTTTCTGTGCCACTTCACAGCTTGGGTCCCTGGGCAGAGTAACTCAATATCTATAAGTGTTGGGTTCCTCGTCTTTAAATAAAGGAGAGGTTGGGTGAATAACATACCTGCTTCATGTGAATGTTGTACAGATTAAATGTGATAATGCATGGGAAATATGGTAATTATCACACTAATTCACTTTTCACTCTCATTCCACTTCCATACCTCTCTGCCTTTGTCCGTTATCATTCCTCTGCCTGGAATGCTATTAGGCTGCTTTGTTTGTTTGGCCAACTGTTAATATGCAAGGTTCAGCTCAAATGGTCCCATTCCTTTCTGTACTTTCCTCTCACTTTTCTCCAACCCTCTATACCCAACAAAGGCAGAAGTGTCGGCCTGCTCCTGCATTCAGTACACTGCGCTGTCACCCCTACCAAGGCCTGACGAGAGGAAGTATGGTGTTTTATTTGGTAAAACCGGTGCTGAGCACACTGCTTCGCACACGAGATGCACAATGAGCGTTCACTGAAGTGTTAAAAGATGGGGGGAGTTTCTGAGTAGGCATAAAACAATTATTCCCAACCCAGCTATTTACTCATAAAACTTCAAATTATTGTTGATGATTTTTGGAGAATGTATCTCAACTATCCCAGCCTCCCTTTTTAAAGTCTGGAGCTATGTTCCATTTCTTTGACTTAATTAAAGAGTAATAATTACTCCTATTTGCAGGCCCCAATGCTCGAAGGCATTTGGAAAAAAGGTATAGTAATTCTGGATTAGCAACTCTGAATATAAATAGGCTTGAGGTAACCTGGCATAATTCATTTCCCTTTTAATGATCCATGTTATTTTAGAACTTAAAAAACACATTGATCTAAGTCTTAGAAAACTTTTTTTGGCAGGGGTGGGGGAGCTACACCTTTCATTATTAATGACCATTATCTTTCGGCACACTGAAGTAATAAATTGATCTGTCACTTGATTATTACTGCTTGCAACTTGGTACAGCTATGTTCATTACTCCAGAATGAATTATTAATGGCTTGAGATCTCTATGTATCCCGGACAGAAAGGCCTAGACCTCAGCCTCTGCTGGCACCAGCCATCTATTATAGCTGGATGAATTTACAGGTGTGTGGGAAATAGGCTGGCAGAGCACTGGGGAGCCAGTCCAGCAGAGGCCATGGGACTCGCTCATTAGCAAGGTCTATAAAACATGGAGAACCTGCTGTTTTGTTAAATTGAGCTGTCTGAGTTCCACCTCATACAGCTCAGAATGTCATGTTGAGTCTTGACTTAAAATCCACACAGAGAAGTTACTTTCACACTACATACTGCAGTAAAGGAGTTTTGACACACGTCTTTCAAATCCCTCTGTCCATGTGGACTGCTCTGCTGTGGTGTCTTTTGAAAGAACTGCCAATTCTATCATTTGGATGCTGCAGAGAAACAGTTCTGCATGTGATATTCACTTGGAAGAGACACAGTTTCTTCCGTGATCATCAGAACTGCTTTATCCAATGAGAAGCAGTGGATCTCCTGAGGGGCATGACTTCAGGGCAGTTGTTGGGGGTAGGAAGGTATATGTACCCCACGATCCAGGGAGTTGCCTCATGAACTAGAACCAATGACGAAAGTGCATGTTACATGAAAATGGCCTTGGCAGAGGGGCTGCCTGCCACCTTTGCTTCAAAAGGAAATAGATGAAGACTCTGTTTTGGTCTCATATCCTTTGAGGGGCAGAAGGAGGTAAATCACTTTCAGATAAAGATGTTGGTGGGGATGGTGATAGAGGGAGCATTATGATGGGAAAAGACAGTAGCCAATCCTTTTGGGGCCTGTAAGGCAGAGACCACCCATGCTGTCATAGGGATTACATATGTTTTCCTGGAGTTTAAATGAGAGTCAGAGCTCTCTATAAGTGTTAAGTGGTACTTTAAAAAACGAGACGGGTCCTAAAGTACTCCAGTAATACATGAGTTTATTGTAGGGTTTGCAGATAGGTTTCATCTTGAGGCCTAGAGTAAAATACCAGACTAGTCCTGAGGTATTCTAAAGATACATAAGCTTATCGTAGGGTTTGCAGATAGGTTTCATCTTGAGACCTAGAGTGCTGTCAAAGAATGTCAAAGCTGAGTACCAGCTCCGCTGGATACAATGTAGTGACAGATTCGCAATGAACCATGGGTTGGATGCGCGGAGCAACAGCCCATCCCACTTATCCACCATTCCCTACTTGTTTGCTTCAGTTTCCAATATTAAATTGGAATTAGGCTTACAGTGTTTTAGACTTTTCAAACAAGCTACAAAAACTTTTTACATCTATCTGACCTTCAGAATAACTCTATAATAGTAGCTCTCAAACGTTCTGACAATGACCCAAGGTAGGAAGTACATTTTATCAAGCAATACACACATACATAAACAGACACATCCCCACACCATATCAGAAACAAAAGTTTTCAGGAATAGTAAGTATGATACATTCTGATATTTTCTATTCCCACGCTATCCTAGTCTATGTTTATCCAATAAATTATTTTCATGAGCCACTTATATGCCATGAACTACTATTTCAGAAACACTGCTATAGAGGCATAAAGCGCAAGTATTCTCTCCAATTTGCAAATTTGGACAATGAAG